TTTCTTCTCATTTCCATGTTTTTATTTTTTTTTTTTTTTTCACCTTAGGCACTGATCTTTCCACTATTTCTTTTGTTTCGCTACATCTTTTATTTACTTCTTTTCCGTTTATCTTCGAATCTTTGCATCTTTCTTAAAACTGATCAATCAGTTCTTGAGAGCATTCTCTCAGTGTTTCTCTTACCTCATCCTTTTCCTCTTCTGTTGTTTCTGTTTTTTCCTCTAAATATACTTTCATCGGTAAATGATTTGACTCTGTTCTTTATCCGATTCTCATCAGTTTAATTTAATTTGATCAAAAGCCTCTTGATTTCCTATTACATAATCACTTACTGTTTCGTCTCTGCTGCCAACATATGTGAATTCTCCTTCTTCCCTTTTTCGTCCAATCACTGTTACCCATCCTTCTTCTGTAATTTCTTTATTCAACCTTTTTTCTTCCTTATTTATTGTTTCATCCTTGGATTTCCTTATTTCTACTTTTTTAATTTCCCAGCCTGTTTCGTTAATCCATCGTCCTTTTCTTACTGTTCTCGCCTTCCAATCTTCTACTGAAAATACACTTTCAGCATCTTGCTCTCCAATATTCTCTTTTATTATTTTAATTATTTTTGTTACATTTTGACTGTATACTCCAACAATTTTTCACTCCCGTTCTCCATATTTGATCTCTTGCATCATTATATTTTCATTCCATACTCCAAATTTCTTGTTCTCCATCTTTTTATTAAGATCTGTAAAATTGTTCCTCCTTTTGCTCTCCCTTTCTTAAGTTCTCTTACCGCTGATACGAAATTTTCATTCAAACTTTCTCGACGTCTTACTTTCTAGATCCGTCCATTTATCCTTTTCCAACCACGTTTCCACCAACACTATCATATCGAAGTCATTTAAATATTTCTACACTTAATTGTCCTTATTTAATACACCTACAATATTTGGAACACAGACGATTGTATTACATGCACTGCTTCCTTCCACCTGTTTCTCTTCTTGCATCTATCATTCTTGTGACTTTTTCATTTTTTTTTTCTTAAATCTTCTTCCAACCTTATGTAAATTCGCCGCTCTACTCGTTATGTCTGAACCATTGCTCATTGATCATTATTTTCATGTAACCCACTTCTGTGGTTTTTACTTTGGTTCTCTCCTCTTTGGATTTATCCAGAATCAATTTCTGAATTTCCCTTTCTTGTCCAGTTAGATCATTTTTGAAATATATCACTTTTTCCAGCTTCTTCTTGTTTGCCATAACGTTAACCTTCATTTCTTTGTTTTCTAGTTCTACTATCACTAATTTTCCTTCTCCTCTTTCTTTATTCATAACTATTTTATTATCCTTCTTTACTTTAACCTTGATTTTTATTATCTGTGTAATATATTCTTCCACTTTCTTTTCTCAATTAATTTTTTAAATAGATGCCTCTTTAATCACTATATTCTTTATTCTTTTTTCTCTTTCACCTTTTTCTTTTTACCATTCTAATCTACTAACTCTTTCTTCCTTCTTCTTCCTTCCTTCTACATTCCTGTTTCTCTTCGTCCCATTTGGTTCTCTCTTCTCTCCATTCTTCATGTCTTTTCTCTAATCCGACTAACACTTCGAATATGCTTTCTAATCGCTTTTCTATTCTGCATATCCTGTCATAATACTCTTTACCTTTCCTGTCTTTCTGAAAATTCAGGGTAGTCTGAGCATTACTCCTTGTGTTTACACTTATTCCCGCCTTTGTTGTCATTTTTAAGAATTTTCTGCATTATCGTTTATTTATATATTCCTTATCAGCACTACTGTTGGTAATTCAGGACCCTCTTGACCAGTCCCTGACAATTCAGGACCCTTCCTCACCAACTATCAACAATAACGAGACTACTTTATTAGCTATCAGCTATCTATATTTCTGAGGTAATCCCATTTTTACATGTTTCTCTCCATTATATACTGTTGTAAACAAAGAAAACAAGTAAACCAAGTAGTGTAACGAAATGGTCAATAGCAGCTTAATATGTTGTACTGTTAGAGGTTCTATGTGATGAACTAAAATCAGTAAAAGATTTGATAGACATTTCTATTTAAAGTTACATAAACCAATTGAAATATTAAGACAATTTAGGAGTTGTAAGCTTAGCAAAGTTTGAGAAAATAAAAAATATACAGAAATACATTATGTTATGCTGTTCATCGTTCTAGTTAGTTGAACACGAGCTGTTAGTGAGTCAGCGTATACATACGAATGTTTTTTTTCGATGGTAAATCTTACTGTAAAACAGTTTTCGGTCTCTTTTTCTCTCTGTTCTCTTTGTTTCGACCCTGAATAACGTGTCTTTTCTTTTTTAATTCTTTATTTAATTATAATTATGAGTGAGGCTAATGAGTGTGTGCCCTTTAACCCTGAGGTCTAGGTTAAGGTGTCGGCTGAGGATGGCGTGTGGTGAGGCCGGAATCAGAGAGGAGGGTTGAAACCGGCCAGGAGTTAAAGTGGCATTACTGCAAGAAGAGATAACGAGAGACGGAGAGGAGAAGTGACAGCAAGAAAGTTACATCAGGTCCATAAAGGACGTGGCGTGTCAGATCTATAGTAAGTCGCTTCTTTTATTGTTACCGCAAACTGGGGCGGACAATTTTTCTCGTATACATATGTCATCTGTTTCTTTCTTCTTCTTGATTTAATCTTGCCCGGGAACAAAAAGGGTGCGAGTGTAGAGATTTGTGGAGGGCTACGCCGCACAGTGTGTCTCTTTACGTTTTTTCGTTTAAAATAGATAGCTCCTGTCAAAAGAATAATAAAACGATTCTTTTTGAAAAACAAATTTGATCAGTTGTAAAATTTAGAGAAACTATAGGGAAAACTAAAAACTTTTTGTTTTTCAGGCTAAAAGGACATCACTTCAAAAAATATCAAAGCAATTAATTTTTTCGGTTTCTGCGCTTAACAACATATAACTTTGTAATCAAAACCTTTGACAGTAAAACGGTTTCGTGCTAATTCTTTTTCAAAGATACGGGTTATTAGTTTTATAGTATAAAAACTACACAAAACATGTAAAAAATTTTTTTCAAGGTTAAAAATACAAGGAAAAAAATTTCAAAAATTTTTTATGTAACGTTAGAATTTACAACAAAATAAATAAATAAGTCAGTGTCTTACTTATTTTTTTAAGTCTGTACTTGCAGATATAATCTCAAAAAATAGTGACCATAGAACAAAAAACGTCATTTGTAAGAACATGAACAAAAAAAAACGAAAAAAACTACAGTAACGAAACATTAACACTAAAGACACTGCATAACCTTAAAAAGTATTAAAACATTTAATTTTTTTGGTTTTTGCCCTCAAATCATGTAGTTTCGTAAATTAAACTTTTGACAGAAAAATGGTATCGTAATTTTTTTTTCTAAAAAACTCAGGTTGTCTGTTGCAAAATAAAAGAAATAACCATAAACAAGATCTCAAGTAACTATTTTGAGGTTAGAAAGCTTAAGAAAAACAAAAATTTATTTAAGTTTTTAAACTTGAAAATAGAATTTATATCAAAATGAATTAATAAGTGAGTTCTTTAGTGTCGTCTTGTTATTTTGTCTTTTTAATATAATTATTTCAATATTATTTTACATTTGTATTAACTTCAATATGTTTACATTTGAAATTCTTATCACAAAAAACGTTATTTGTAATGATATTAATATTAACAAAACTAACACAATCTACAGATACCAAACATTAACGTGAAAAAGTGAGCATAACCTTTCAAAAATTATCGATGTATACATTTTCCTTTGTTCGTGCCCTGAACTACGTGTTAATTTGTAGCTATTTGCTACATTTCTTCATGACTTCTTGTTCTAGAGAAATACTACTTGACTCTGTTGCATAATCATGCTACTTGTTTGGTAAATACTCTTTTTATCTTCACGTACTTTTCTATGGTTTATATTTAGTAAATGCAGTTGAAGAACTGATGTATACACGCTCCTATTAAATAAATCAGTCAATCAGTATTTTCTGTGTCTCTCTTGCATGTCTTGTCATATGTAGTCTGCGTAAACGATGTCAACTTTCACTTGCATCTTCTGACAGAAATATTAACAGAACTAGGAATTGCTTGGAGATCTGGCAGCCATGCATAACTTACTTATGCTCACTGAGACTTTATTTAGCCCAACAATATAAAGTATAATACATCAAGTATGTAGGCACATAACTTGGAATTTGCAAAGGTCGATTTGTTTGCCACATCTTAATACATCTAATACTGTTAATAGATTACTGAAAAGTTTTTCATTACCACCTAAAACGATTAAAAACTGCGTAAAATTGTTTTATTTCGAATTTTTTTGAGGTTAGTTAGAGTCAGCGATATGTTAGACTAAGAAAAGTGTGGATTCACATTCAAGTATGAAATATGTGCTTAAAAATTAACTTTGTAATAATTTTTCGACGTGCATAACGATCATCAACTACCTGAAACTGCTTTATTTAAAATTTTTTTTTTTAGTTTGATAGGATTGGTGATGTGCTCGATCAAAACTCAGTATGGATTCATAATTAGCTGTTGGGTCTGTGCTATTGAGCAAGCTGTGTAGGTGTGGGCTATGTGTGGAACGACAGTGTGAGTGAATAGACTGGTAGGCCGAGCGAGTGCGTACGTGGGAGTAGTATGTCGCGAGCAAGTACACGAGTAAGAAGTCACCTGTGTTAGCGCATTGTAATACTACATTGAATAAATAAGCCTTTGAGTATATAGCCACTCGACGATGTACTTATTCACTGAACCCAGATATACAACAATTGGCGAAGAGGACGGTAGAAAGAAGTGAAAAATTACGTTTGAATTCTCGTCGACGGTTAAGTGCGAGTTACATTAACAAAATTGAGTATCTCGAGAGGCTTTTTTCTAACTCTACAGAGAATGATATCGATGTGGAGTACGAAAACACATCGATAAAGGAAGAGCAGTCAAGCGACAGTGACGAGAAAGTTGAGAAAATTACAAGTAAAATGGCTAAATTTGGCGCAAATTTTACAATACCAGTTTTTGTGCCGGGTGAGTCAAAATGGGAGAGATGGCTGCGAAGATTTGAAGGTGCTTTAGCCATCATGAAAGTTACGGACGATAAATTGAAAGCTACCTACTTGCTTCATTACGTGGGAGAAAAGGCTCACGATGTGCTGTGCGATACATTTGGTGATGCGACGGTGTCAACAAAGAAGTATGAGGAGTTGACCGATAAGCTAAAAGAAATGTATGCCTCGGTGACAATAGAGATTGCTGAAAATTTCAAGTTCAATTGCAGGAAGCAGCAGCTTGGAGAGTCTGTACAAGACTTTGCTATGGCTTTGAAGAAGCTTGGTGCGAGCTGTGGATTTGGGGACTTTCTACAGAAAGCATTGCGAAATCAGTTTGTTTATGGTCTGAGTAATCAAAGAATACAGAATCGATTGCTCGAAACGAAGGACTTAACGTTCGAGAAAGCTTCACAAATAGCTAATGCTACGGAGCTGTGTGAGAAAGAAACTACACAATTACGAGGAGAAAACACACACGCAGCGATAAATACAGTATATGGGAAGAAGAAAATTCATAAGAAGTCTAGTAAGCAGTTTAACACAACGAAGGATACAGATTCTAAGAAAATGCTCTGTTATCGTTGTGGTAATGCAAATCACAAGGCGAATGTTTGCACATTGCCCAAAAATATCATATGCAATGCTTGTAAAAAGCAGGGACATCTTGAGAAGATCTGTATGCAGAAAGGAAATACACCGAGGCAAATTCATCAAATTGAAGAGGATTCTCACGTCGAGGTAGTTGATATACTCAACGTATTTTCTGTGGAAGATTTTCAAAATATAGAGAAGTTCGTAAGAGGGCTGAATGTAAACAACACCGAGGTAAATTTCGAGGTCGACACGGGAGTAGCGGTTTCTATTATGTTTTACGATAGAGCCAAGCAGTTGTTCCCAGGAGAGAGGGTTTATAAATCATCGTTACAACTAGTCACCTATTGTAAGTCGAATGTATGTGTGCGAGGTTTTATAAATGTTTGTGTTTTGTTCGAGAATGTAGAGTTCTATTTAAAATTGTATTTAACTGATGTGAATCGTATGCCTTCGTGGGGTCGCGAATGGATTAGAGCGTTTATACAAAGTCGCGGAGCTCAAAGTTTGTTTGCTTCGATTTTGTCGGTTGAAGATACTTGCGAGAATGAAAAGCCGAATAAAGAAATGTTTGTTAATGATTTAAAACATAAATACAAGGATGTGATACGGCAAGATTTTTCACCAATTTTAGGATTAGGAGCTGTGACTTTAACTATGAAGCCTGACGCCAAGCCAGTTTTCGTCAAGTCAAGAAGCGTGCCATTTTGACTCATACCATTGATCGATGCAGCCTTGGAGTCTTTAGAGATGGGGGGAGTTTTGGAGCGCGTTAGCTCATCACCTTATGCTACTCCGATCGTACCTATACTCAAGAGCAATGGCATCGTACGGATCTGCGGAGATTATAGTGTTACGGTGAATTCGCAACTAATGGTAAACGAGTATCCACTTCCGACGACTGACGAGCTGCTTGTTGATCTGGCTGGTTGTAGGTTTTTCGCAAAAATTGATTGTACTCAAGCGTATTTACAATTACCCGTTGATAAGGCTACAGCCGACACACTTACGATAAATACACAATGCGGTTTATACAGGGTATGGCGAATGATGTTTGGCATTGCTGCAGCACCCGCGATATGGCAAGAAAAGATGATGTCTTTGTTCGGTAAAATTAAGGGTATGAAAGTATTCCAGGATGATTCGTTGTTGGCTGCACGTACATTAAATAAATTTATTAAATTAATGCATACGGTTTTTCAAATTCTCGACATGCACAATATAAAAATCAATTGAGAAAAATCCACTTTCTTTGAAGAAAGAATTATTTATTGCGGCTTCGTTCTTGATGAGATGGGTTTACATAAAGATCCTGAAAAGTTCAAAGCAGTGCTTGATATGCCACCACCTGCAAATGTTGGAGAATTGCGTTCATTCATAGGGATGATAAACTATTATAATCGTTTCATGAAAGACATCGCGAGCACATTACATCCATTGTATAATTTGTTGAGTAATGATAAGGAGTATAAGTGGACAGATAAATGTCAGAAAGTGTTTGATGCAGTTAAAAAAATTTTTACGCAAGATAACTATTTAATGTACTTTGATTCGAAATTGCCATTAGTATTGGCCACTGATGCGAGCCTGAGAGGTGTAGGTGCTGTATTATCTCATTTATTGAATGATGGTTCAGAAAGACCGATTTGTTTTGTGTCTCAGACACTTAATAAGGTGAGGCAGAAAAACAGTCAGATAGATCGGGAGGCTTATGCGATTATTTTTGCAATTAAGAAATTACATCAATACTTATACGGATACACGTTTACTTTGATTTGTGATAATCGTCCATTAGTTTAAATTTTTAATCTGGACAAATCTTTACCTTCTTACAGTGCAATGCGTATGCAACATTACGCTTTGTTTTTGCGTGGTATTAATTATACTATTAAATACAGAAGATCAGAGCAGAATTGTAATGCTGACTGTCTTTCTAGATTACCTGATAATGACTGTGATATTAGTTGCGATATTGTTGATACATTTTACTTGGAAGCTTTAAATGTGTTGTCAATCGATGTTTTTAATATTCGTAACATTGTAGATAATGACATTAAATTCAAATTTATAATTGATAGTCTGAATGCAGGTAAATTTCTAAATAAAAAAGATACCTGGATTGTAGATCCAAGTGAATTTTGAATTGAGAATGGTTTGTTAGTGCGTGCTCATAAAATTGTAACTCCTGTAGTAACACATGTATGGGAGCCTGTTTCAGAACCCTTTGATAGGGTACACATTGACTTTGCTGGCCCATTTTGAAATTCGATTTTTTTTATATTAATTGATGCATATTCGAAATGGCCTGAAATACACGTTGTGAAAAATATGTTGACAGAAACTACCATTTGTAAGTGCGATGAGATTTTTGCACAATTCGGCTTTCCAAAAATTTTGGTTTCGGATAATGGCAGAACTTTTGTTTCTGATAAATTCTCAGCTTATTTAAGAGACCGAGGTATTGTGCAGAAGTTTTCAGCATCTTTTCATCCCGCTACAAATGGCCAGGTGGAGCGTTATGTTCAGACTATTAAAAATGCACTGCGAAAATTAAATGATGTACAAAATATTAAAAGCGACATTGGAATGATATTAATGCAATACAGAAGCATGCCACACTGTACAACCGGCAAATCACCAGCGGAACTATTTTTGGGGAGGAAGATCCGTACCGAATTGAATTTGCTTAGGGATGCTAAAGAAATAGGTAAAAAAATCCGTGTAAATACAAATTTAAATGTTGAAAAGTTTATATTAAATCAAAGAGTGATGGTACGAAATTACTATGGTAAAAGTAAATGGTTTTTTGGAAAAGTAATTGATAAACAAGGCAAATTGCATTATAAGATTCAGTTGGATGATGGCCGAGTTTGGGTGCGACATGTTGATCAAATGAATGCATGTGAATGTGCTGAGCCTAGTAAAGATTTTGATTATTATGTGCCTGTTCAGGAACAGATGAGAATTGAAAAAGTTGCGAAGTCAAGCGTTCCTGCGAAATTTGTTCCGGAGCCAACAAGTAGTGATAATATAAACGATGGAAACGCGCATACTCCAAGTTTAAGACCCAAAAGAAATGTTAAACCTCCTGACTGGTATCAAGCGTAGAGTAGCCATTTTTTTTACAGGGGAAAATGTTGGGTCTGTGCTATTGAGCAAGCTGTGTAGGTGTGGGCTATGTGTGTAACGACAGTGTGAGTGAATAGACAGGTAGGCCGAGCGAGTGCGTACGTGGGAGTAGTATGTCGCGAGCAAGTACACGAGTAAGAAGTCACCTGTGTTAGCGCATTGTATTATACATTGAAAAAATAAGCCTTTGAGTATATAGCCACTCAACGATGTACTTATTCACTGAACCCAGATATAAAATATTAGCGATGAACTAGTAGAAGCTTAAAAAACACCTATCATTATCTAAGTTAATATTATTATAGAAAGATAAGAGAGGTTTATCTTTGAAACTGTCTGAATAAAAAATCGAGATCTTACTCAAGTAATACAAATGTGATTGTTGCCCATCAATATACTACGTTGTGTACACATTTACTAAATGTGTACAACCTGTGTTTTCAGAAAAAAATTACCACGATATTATTTTTATGACAAACGTTTCAATAATGAAGCTATATGATTTGAGGGCAAAAACCAATAAAATTAAATGCTTCAATATTTTTTAAGGGTATGTTGTGTCTTTCGTTGTTAATGTTTCGTTACTGTGGTTTTTGTTAGTTTCTTTATCAGATTATATTCTTACAAATGACGTTTTGTGTTTCATAATTACTATTTTTTGTTATGTCAGCAAGTACAGACTCAAAAATGTTGAGTAACATTTCAACAATCATAATTAAAAGACACGTATTGGAAAATACTCTAAGACACTAACTTATTTATTTATTCTGTTGTGAATTCTAATGTTAAATGAAAAATGTGGAAATTTTTTTTTTGTATTTTTAACGTTAAAAATTTTTTTTCAATCTTTTGTACAGTTTTTTATACTTTAGAGCTCATGATCCGTATGTTTAAATAAAAATATGCACGCTACTGTTCAACTGTTGAAAGTTTTAATGACGATTTCATATGTTGCTTGGCGCAAGAACCAAAAAAATTGAATTCTTTGCTATTTTTTGAGGTTATGTTGGCTTTTAACTGTTATCTTCTATTAAAGCGAATGTTACTTAAGACTTTAGTTTTAGTTTTTAAAAGTACTGTTTTGTCGTTATTTCAATGTGTTGTGATGTGACTACAACGATAAAAACAGCATGAGTTGGTATTTATTGAGGTAATGTCTTCAAGTATGGACTTATGATCGTTAAGTTTTATTAAAAAAATTACTATGAAAAGATACATCATTAAAAACTCAGCGCAGTCCCTAATATTTCATTCAATTTATTATCAATTAATTCGATAAATCAAGAATTTTTGAAAAATTTTGTTTTTTTGTTTTCGAGGTTTCTAGTCTGAAGAAAGAACTTTCAGTTTTCCTATATTCTGCAACTGATAAACTTTATCTTTTAAAAAGAATCATTACAACATTATTGTCTCGTATGTAAAATGTTACAGGGCGCGTGTATGGGCTGCTTATGGCAACAGTATACTGTCCGTACATGGTCTGAAGTTGGTAAGTGCCACGATGACATTCACCGTCGACCAACACATAGCGCTTATTTGAAAGCGTCCGATTACATTACAATCAGCAATACAGCGTGACAGGAAATCATTAATGATATCAATGGGTAGATTTAATGTTCCTTAAGCGTCGATTTCCGAGTCAGCAAAGAATGTTAAAACTATTATACTACGTAAGCCGTAACTAAATATACCCGCTCATATATTTGTATTTTCCATTATGTCTTTGTGGTGGATCAAAGCATTGTTTTTTACAACGTTAATATTTGAGTATGATTCGTGCAGGATTTGGGCATAACATGAATGGTAAGCATTTGATTGAGCTTACACAGTGATTCATCAGCGGCAGTATAAAAGCAAAAGGGAGATATTATAGTAGAAATACGCTAGTAAATACGGTACTTTAGCAATCCTAAGTTATTCATGTAATATTTTACGACATGTTAGGAATAATAAAACAAGACAAGATGTTATTTGAGGATACTTAAGGGTTATTAAAAAAAATAAATAAGCATTGCTTAAGCCGTGCTTCTGTGGCCTTTTTGGAAGTTGTATATTTATTGACATATAATAGAAAACTCGCTTGCAGCAGGATTCTGTCAACTAATACTTTATGTCGCTACTGTAATGTCAACTGAACATGCATGAGTTACATCACCAATAAATAGTGAATTGTTCTTCATTGGAATACGTTTCATTCGAAGCAGACATCAGACTGTTTTTGTTTACTCAGAGAGTTGTTGACACTTGGCGTATCAGTACTAAAGTTACTATGAATCCAGGATTTATTAAAGGAACATCTGAAAATCTACCAAAAGTAGATTTAGATGTGATGTTAAATTTTATTTATTCCAACGAGTGCTATGGAAGCATGGAAATGCGTTGCGTAAAAACTCAAAAATTTTGTCGCATTTTAGCATATTGGATTAATTTAAGTTCATACAAATTAACTATAACATGAATTACTGTAAATCATTCTGCAACTAAGTTTTTAGAAAAAGTTAAATTTTACTATAACTGTGGATAATCAGAAAATCAAAAAATTCTCTCAAAATACTTGTGCCTGCATACACACATCAAAGTAA